AATTTGTTGACACACACACACACACACACACACATATATATATATATATATATATATATTTATAAAACGTCTATTGGCTTATTCATTTGCTTATTTTTACCTATTTCTTTTTTTATTTAAACATATATATGTATTTCTATTTATAACAGTATAAAACAATTTTTAGGGAAAATAAAATATTGTAAACATTTCATCAGAAGTGTAAATGAATTGAGGGATGAAAGCACACTGATGTAGGATGTTGTTGTGGTGTGTGTTTGCTCAGGACTCTCAGTGCATCGACACGTCTCTCCTGGATCCGGCCAGTAACATCACCACACTGGTGGGTCCCAACGCCTTCCGGATCCCGCTGTCCATCCGGCAGAAGCTGTGTGGGAGTCTGGACGCGCCGCAGACCCGCGGAAACGACTGGAGGATGCTGGCGCACAAACTCAACCTGGACAGGTCAGACCACCGACGACTATTCAGAGTTATTACCATATATACAGTAGATATGTAAGCAATAAGGTACGGGAGGCCGTGCTCTATCGTGAATAAACCACGGCTGCAGCCCCTTCAGCCGTGATTTATTCATGATACAGCACGGCCTCTCGTACCTTATTGCTTATTAAGGAACCTGTCCTTCCGCTAAAAAACAGTTCCTGACAGCAACAGTAAACGGCAAGAGAATGTTCCAAACATGCCTCATCTAATGGAGCTTAAATAAAAACAGAGAATAGGAGCTCTTATCATCCGCTGTGTCATTTATATTTTTAACACCATATATGATATTTTCTCACACACGTACATCTGCTTATCTCTCAGCATAAAACTAATAAATACAGTAATATTCCCTCCTCACTTTTTTTTCAACATGATGCCAGCAGGGGTCACTCATACTTCATTAAATAAATAACAAACAGTTAATTCTGCCGAAATACATAATAAATTTAATATTTTTGATGCTATATTATTGATTGCTTATGTTGCTAAGGGTGTTGCTCGTGATACACAGAACCGTTGGGTGAAGCAGTCATAGCTGTGCTGAATCATGAATAAAACACAGCTGCTGACCAATCAGAATCGAGGAATGGAACTAACCGTTTTATTAAAATTAATAGGCTAGGAAGCCTATTTAGTCATAAGTGCAGTTTATATATAAGCTACCTTATATATATATATATGTCTTTTAATGTTTTTTTTTTTCAATCTTTATTTGAAAGTTCATTTCATATTTTCAATATTTTTTTCAGTTTTAAAGTTTTTTTCTACTTAAAAAAAGTAATGTTTTTGATAGCTTTTTTTTCAGTTGTTCTTGTTTGTTTTAATGTTTAATTGGATTTAAATTGAATTGTTTTAAAGTTTATTTTATTTAATATTTTTAGTAGGTTTTATTTTAATTTCTCTGTTGTACATATTCTGTTTTAATCAACAGATTAACTTTTAGTGTTTAATTTTTTCATATTATTTAAAACTTTTTCATATTTTCAGGTTTTTTATTTTTTTTAATTATTATTTTTTGTTTGTTTTAATGTTTTTTACTTTAATTCTTAATTTAATTTTATTTAACTTATTTTTTTTCAATATATTTTTTTTTTGTTTTCATTTTTATTTTTGTTTGTTTTAACGGTTAACATATTTTATTTTTTATATTATTTTACACCACCAAATTTCTATCTGCCTAAATTGACACATTTTATCAGAAAATTCAGAAAGTCTGCTGTAATTGGTTAATGTAAGTGTCAATCTGATGGCAGCCTCGTGTCTGATTGGCTGGTTCAGTTTAACAGTCAGATTTGAGAGATTCATTAAATCAAGTTTATTTGTACAGCGCTTTTCACGATACAAATCCTTGCAAAGCAACTTTACAGCAAATTAAGTTTCTACAATATTTAGTGGTAGCTTATCAGTGGTGACTGTCAGTTAATGTACATATGGCAGAAATGTACAGAAAAATCATTTAAAGACGTAATCAAACAGACGATGAACACTATTAACAGCAATTATTATATGATGCAATCAAACTTATAGCAAAATGTGGTAGTTCTGTATGTTGTTTCAGGGTTGGCATCATCTGAGGTCCTCTGAGGGGTTGGCATCATCTCTTCTCAGGTGTTCTGGATCCAGACTGAAGCTTGTGTAAATCCTAGTCCCGTGGCAAAAACAGAGAAACAAAATAGAGACATAATTAGCGTAGCTGCTATTCCAACCAAGCAAAATTTATTTGTTTAACCCAAACTAAAGAATAATAATAATGTGCAACAGTGAGTGAGACAAAAATAATATACTCTGGTATCAAAACTCCATCTTTATCTAAATATAAAATGATAAGATATCATTTTATAAAACTATAAAATTTAAAATAAAAAGCAGCATTTTGAAGACTATTTATGTTCTATTTAATGTGGTAATAGCAAATCATTTTTATGGTATTTTGTGAATAAACAATGGCAAAACAAAAAACATCTGCCGTTATATTAAATAATGGAATGCTAATTTGAAAACAATGAATTGAATAAATTATATATCTTCCATTCTGTGCCATAGCCAATCAAGGATTACTTGAAAGGATTGTTCACCAAAAAATTACTGTCATCTACTCACCACATACTTTTTTCATACACTATCATATACCTTCAGAAGACGTGAAATATACTCTTTTTGGAGCTTGACAAGACCATGGTAAACATAAACTGTCATTGTATGGAAAAGCAGTCTGGACGTTCTGCTAAACATTCTTTTGTGTTTACCTGAAGGAAAAAAAATCATACTTGGTTTGACTGACATGGAGAGAGGAAGACAGAACTATTGTGAACTATTGTGTAAATAATTTCTTTAAATAATAAAGTCATTTTCTTTTCTTGGTTGCACAGTTAAGTAGAAATTAAAAGTTTATTTCAACACCATGGTCATTTTAAATATCGTCATATGCCATAAACAAATTACCTACAGTAAGACATTGCAAAAATACAAAAATAATGTAATTTACTCAGTGAAATTTAAATGCTTGGCTAAAGCTGTAATCTCAAAAGAGAATTCTATGTAAATAATCCTAAAGCATGCACAATCTCATGTACAAATAATATAAATATTTACATACATTCAACATGAATGCAATCTTACTCTTGGTTAAAATTAAAGCGCAATGAACTGGTGTTATGTTGTTTTGAAAAACGTCCCCAATCCAGACATTTTTAGACTGGAAAAATCTTTGTTTTGAACATTGTTTATAGATTTACAGGAATATAATTTTAGTATACCATACCTTGCCCAAAGGGGCTTTAACAAAACTAATAGATTCTGACGTATTTTCAAGATCAATCAAGATGACTGGTGTTCAAGTGGGCATTTTTGCAAAAGGTTCATTTTTAAATGGTAAAGAATCTGTGCGTCACTTTTTTTAAGGGACTGGTCCAAACGAAAACAATATTTCTGAAAGATTTTTTGCTTGACTGGTCAAGAGATGATTAATTTCTGTCTTTGTATTTGGTTTAGAGTTCATTTTAATCCACATCCAGAGGCTCCATGGGCATTGTGACCCGTCTAACCTCACACTCGATTCCAGGCCTCATTGGCGCCTCTAGTGGTGGCGTCGGTTCCTGCTCTTGCGGAGCTCTTGAACATGCTTCCATTTGGCTCACTGTTGTACACGGAAGCAGCTCTGGGTGGATGACGTATGGAGGTTGGCTTTGCGCATGCGCCGCTCAGAAGTGACGAACACGGAAGCGCAGCGGAGAGATCAGAACAAAACAATGGTCACTAATTAGAAGCACAAAACGAGGATTTGTAAAGAAGAATGGCGGAGGATTTCGATATAAGCCAAGAGGAGACTGGTTTTCCTTTGCTAAAGTAAGGAAACTTTGCTTCCTTTGCTGCTGTTAACAAACGTTGGTTTTCACGAGACTCACCGGCGCATGCACAGTGCTGAACTCATACGTCATCTGCCCGGAACTGCTTCCGTGTACAACTGTTGACTTTAATATAACTCCGACTGGATTTGTCTGAAAGAAGAAAGTCATATACACCTAGGATGACTTGAGGGTGAGTAATTTATGGGCTAATTTTCATTTTTGGGTGAACTAACCCTTTAACTAGTTGCTTATTAGCATGCATATTACTAGCATATTGGCTGCTTATTAGTACTTATTATAAGCACATATTAATGCCTTATTCTGTATGACCATAGTTTAGATCCCTTAAACCTACAACATAGCTAAACTATATACGTGTATATATATATATATATATATATACTGTATATATAAACATAACATTTAAAAAAAAAAATTTTGCTTGTTCATATTTTATTTTTGTTTTGTTTTGCTTTTTTACATTTATTTAATATATCGTTATTATTTAATATATCACTGGTTATTTTATTTATTTATTTTAGTATTTCTGCACTGCAAAAGTTCTATGTGCTTAAGTCAACACACGTTTTCTAGGCATGATATGTGAAAAAAAAATTTATTTGTTCATATTTGTTAATTTTTTGTTATTTAAGCTGATTTAATTTAATAATTTCAATAGCTTTTATTTATGTATTTATTTATTTAAATTTTTTTGGTTCTTTTAATTAATTATGTATTTTCTTTTTTTTATGTTTTTAATAGTTTTTACTTTCATTTGTTATTTTTGTTTTTTTATCAGCACTGCAAAAGTTCAATCTGCCTAAATCAAAACACACTTTATCAGAAGGCATGAAATTTTATATATTTTTGTACGTGTTTGTGCATATTTATTTGTTAAATTTAAATTGATTGTATGTAATGCTTTTTATCTTTCATTTTTGTCAGTTCGTGTTTTTTTTTTGTTTGTTTGTTTTTTACATTGTAATGTTTTATTTAATTTTTTATTCATGTATTTCATTTTTCAGTGTTTTTTGAGTATTTTTCAGCACCAGTCCCATCTGTCTAAATCAACACATTTTAATTGAAAATTCATAAATGGAGCTGTGGTTGTTTAAAGGGGTCCTATTATGCTCTTTTACAAAGTCTTGATTTTGTTTTGGGGGTGTACTAGAACAGGCACTCATACTAGGTTGTTCGAAAAACACATTATTTTTGTGCTGTGATTGGTTAGCCGGGCCAGTGTATGTTGTGATTGGCAACACTCGGTGCCTGGTCGGGAAATGTCATGCCCCTTACCATAGCCTCCTGCGAGCTTCAGTGTAAATATTGCGTCAAAATCAAATCAATTTGAGCTCGATTTAAACCCGGATGATTGTAACCACTCTAAGTTCGTCTGCCTTGGGAAAGCTAGTGTGTCTCTGACATAGTGATAACACTCGTTGCCTTCTGTAGTGCAGCTCAACCAGGTCTCGTCCCATTCGTCGATATTTGTGATATCACAAATCCCGGAAAATATGCGTTGTAGTCCAAACGAGTCGTTCGTTGTAGTTTTTGAAAAGTGATTTCTGTTAAATAAAATATCTCCTTTTGAAGTGGACTTTGAGCTTTGTAACTTTCCAGATCTTTTTTATGCTCAAACAGCAACATTACAGACTAATAAGTTGAAAAAGTAAAAAAACATAATAGGACCCCTTTAATCTGTGTCAGTCACATGTCAGCCTCATGTCTTTCCCGTCCGTCCGCAGGTATCTCAACTACTTTGCCACCAAGTCGAGTCCGACCGGTGTGATCCTGGACCTGTGGGAGGCGCAGCACTTCCCCGACGGCAATCTGAACCGTCTGGCCGCTGTGCTGGAGGAGATGGGGCGTCACGAGAACATCATGAGCGCCGAGCACTGACACCCGTCCCATGAGATCGCCGCCGGGTCACTGTGAGCCGCTCCGCTGCAGCCGTTTGCTTTTCTGGTTAGTGTGTGGTTAGTGGTATCAGTTTCTTAGGAAACGCGACTACTTCTGTCCAAATACTGGACCTCCGGCTTCCCGCCGTCTGTCCTGGACATCACATGACTCACATCCGTCATGGCAGTTCGTCCCCTGACAACACTTGGAGGTACCTTTCTATGAACACGTGTTGAGAAATGCCTTTATTTATACTCCGCTCCTTGGTTTTTCGCTCTGGTTTTTCTGGTTTGCGTCTCATTGTTTTCTTGCGCCATCCAGTGGACAGAGCCTGTAACTACACGTCCATCCAGCCTCCTGTATATGTGACCCTGGAGCACAAAACCAGTCATAAGGTGACAATTTTTAGATTTTTGAAAGCTGAATAAATAAGCTTTCCATTGATGTATGGTTTGTTAGGATAGGACAATATTTGGCTGAGATACAACTATTTGAAAATCTGGAATCTGAGGGTGCAAAAAAATCAAAATGTTGAGAAAATCGCCTTTAAAGTTGTCCAAATGAAGTTTTTTGCAATGCATATTACTAATCAAAAATTAAGTTTTGATATATTTACGGTAGGAAATTTACTAAATATCTTCATGGAACATGATCTTTACTTAATATCCTAATGATTTTTGGCATAAAAGAAAAATCTATAATTTTGACCCATACAATGTATTTTTGGCTATTGCTACAAATATACCCCAGTGACTTATGACTGCTTTTGTGCTGCAGGGTCACATATATATATATATATATATATATACAGCAAACACATCTGAACTGTAAAGTTTAACAGTGTTATTCTTTGGTTTTCTTTTGATTATTAATTGTTTTGTTGCATAGTGATCTGTGTGTAATCGAAATGTAGAAGAAAAAGGAAACAAGCGAACATCTTTGAGCGCCGTTTTGTAAACCTTCACCAACCTGCTTCGGGGCTGAAACGTGAACGACTGGATGTGTTTCAGGAATAGACTTTAGTGGCCAGAATTCACAGGTTTCATAAGCTCATCATGCTCTGGGCTGGTTTCTGAGGAGGTTCGTCTCAGATCCGGCTGAGATCGTACGAGAGAGTGAGTGATGAACGGATGGATGCATGCGTAAAAATACAAAGTGTACAGAGACCAACTGAACTAATAGCCATTGGAGTGTGTTTGTACTTTTGCATTCACCTTCATTCTCTCTTGTCCGGATTTCTAAAGCTGTCTATGCAAAATCTGCATCCTTTATAAAGCAAATTATACATGCTAAAAACCGCTAGCAGTCGCTTTCCATAGTTATCATACGATTATTATATTTATAGTGAGGATGTTACTTATTCTTTTATGGCACGTTCATGATGTATTTTGCGAACGCTTGCATCTCCTCTGTGAAGTTTGTGTACAAAATGTAAGAAAGAATTTTTAAACAAGTAATAAATTATATTTATATGCAACACTGAATTGGAGTGTGTATCATCTTTATTGTTTTTATATGTTGAGAAGTCAGATTTAAAGTGTTTTCACAACGGATGTTGCTTAAAAGATGCTTTACAGAACAAAAAAGTAATAGGAAAAGGATCATTCTGGAAAGATGGTGAGGAATTAGACATTTGAATAATGGGGGAAAAAATGCTAGTTTATGGCTAAATATTAAATGTGGTGATTTTTTGTAATCAATGAGTCATGTTATATATGTATATTATTTATTATATTTATATTATTAAGTTATTCTTTGAGTGCATGTATTGATGTTTGATGAAAAATGGGAGAATGTCAATGTCTTAATTTGTGGCGAACCAAAAAAAAAAACATAGTGTAATTGTAATAATGTGAAGAAGTATGTAAAATATGCATTTATAGTTGTTTGAATGATTATTTGAATGTGACTAATATCGCGAATATTTGTGTTTTAATCATTTTCTTTTCCAGGTTTAAAGCAATAGGTCAGGCAAAAATGGAAATTTGATGACAGTGTCCTCATCCTCAGATCATCCAAGATTAGGATGAGTTTGTTTCTTCATCCGATTTGGAGAAATGTAGCATTGC